CAGCCCCTGAGATGGAGGAGGTGGGATGTTTGGGCTTGGGGGCTTGGCAAGGCGAGGATGCTCATCAGAGCTCTGCCCTCGGTGGCAGCCATTCATCGACAGCCAGCATGTATCCACAAGTATTTCCTGCCCCGAGCCTATGCTGTTGCCATCCCACTGGCCGCCGGCCTCCTGCTGCTCCTGTTTGTGGGTAAGTCATCACCCCCCTAACCCTGGGCAGAGTGTCTGGGGGTCCCATGACCCTCTCCCACCCCTGAATGTGCTGCCACACTTTGGCACTTGCTGTACATCTGCTTGAGGCTCCTTGTCCCCAACTCACCCCCTGGGGTGTTCTTGTTCCCCCTCAGGGCTGCAAATCAGTCTCCCATGCCTCAGGCTCACTGGACTCAAACGGGATGTCTCCTTTCTTCCTGCTCCCTCTACCACTGCCATCCTCACTGCTCACACCTCAATCACCTCTCACCCCTTGTCACCCTGGCTCATGATTCCTGCACCTCTCTGTCTCCCGTGGTTTAGTGGGTGGGCTTCCCGGGGCGGGGACTGTGGCTTCATCATTACCTGTCCTCAGCTCCCAGCACAGGCCTGGCCTGAGGTTCCTGGCACTGAGTGGCTCAAGAAAGTATGTGCTGAGTCAACAATCCGATAACTAGATGAGGGGTGGGGGGGGGGTGATGGGTGTTGGGTGGGCAGGTAGGGAGGTGAACAGGTAGTGGATGAGTAGATGGGTAGTTGGGTGGATCTTGTTCCCCATAGAATCTGAAACACCAAATACAGCAAATTGCCTGCGGTAGGCACTCAGTAGGTGTTTTTGAATGAATGTAGGTGGATGTGTGGCTTGAGGAATGACCAGGGAGATACCAGGTGGCCTGGAGGGTGGTTGGGTAGGTGCTTGGCCCTGCGTGTGGGTCACTCCACCATGCTGTGCCCTGCTCAAGCCTCCCGGCAGCCTCGAGCCCGAATCTGACCTGGCCTTTCTGTCTGTTTATTCCAGGAGTGTTCATCATTTATGTGCTGCTGAAGAACCAGAAGGTGACCAAAAAGACTCAGTGAAGGCCCAGCGGGATGAGGCTGCAGCCCCCTCTCTGCCTCCCCTCCAGGGCAGGGCCCAAAGGTGGGGCCCCGCAGGACCGGTCCAGGTACTGCAGCCCCCTCAAGCCTGGCTGCCCTGCACACAGCCCTGTGTGCTGGAGCTGTTCAGGACTCACCCCGACTCACCAGAGCCCCTGCTCACACTGCCAGAAGCCAGGAGGGACGAGTACATGGAAGTCTCCCTCTCACCCACTCCGGCTCAGGGCCTGAAAGATGCTGGTCTTTCCCACCCCGCCTTCAGACTCCCTGTCACTTTTTCCTCTGGGTTCTCCCCTCTTGCCTCAGTTTCCCTCCTGTCACATGCTGATGTTGGACTTAGCAGGTTCTGAGGCAGCACGTGACCTATCCCCACATGTTCTGCTGACCTCTCTCCACATGTCCTGCTCCTCCCCGAAGGCAGCTTTCCCGGTCTAACAAGCCCCAGACCCCACAAGGACTTCTGGACCTGGAGAGCCTAGGAGGAGGACTGACAGGCCCAGGACCACCCCCAGGCCTCAGGGCGCATTAGGGTGGCCACACCGGGCCCCCAAACCAACTGCTCCTCATGGAGGCCAGCCCCCTAGCCCCAGTGCTGGCCTACTGGGGAGGCCTGAACAATAAACATTGATGGTGTGTTCGTCTCTGTGTCATCCCTGACCAGGGGAGCCGGGCCGCTCGGGGGCTGGAGCTGGTCTGGGAGCCAGCCCCTGCATTGGTCTCAGGTTGGGAGACCCTGGTTCGTGCAGTGAGTGAGGGTGCCTGAGGTGCCTCTGGATCATTCCTATGCTTGACCCGTGATAAAACAGGGCCCAGGACAGATATGGTTCTGGCCCAGTGCAGCTCACGGCTGGGGAGTGGGTAGAGGCGTGGTGATCTGCCAGACATCACATTAGCCTCCCCCGTGCCTCCCCCGTGCCAGCCCAGCCAGCAGGCACTAGTATTTTACACTCCTAAAGGCCAGCCCCCAAAGTGCAAACCTCTTGTCCATCTCTTGTCCCCAGCAGCCCACTTTGGCGTGGCTCTGAGCAGTGAGGGCTGCTCACTGAGCCAGCGCAGGGCTGGTTCCACTGTGTTCGGGTTTACTGATCTGGCACAGGCCCCAGCCCCCAGCAATCCCACTATGCCCTTCTGGGCAGCCAGGTCTCCCATTCACAGTGCCCAGTGTACACCTCCATCCGCCACAGCTTGATGGTCACTCTGCCTCCAGTTAGCAGAGGGGTCTCCGTCAGAGAACAGAGGCCAACTGCAGGTACACCTGCCCTGCCTCGCCTGCCCCCACCTCTCCGTGTCCTCCAGACCCCGCAGAGCTGCCCACCTGGGCTCTGGGTCCTGTCCTTCCCCTGCTATAGCAGGCGCCTCATGTCACTGATGATGCCCCTCTCATGGGAACAGCCGCTGCTTCTCCCAGTATGCTCCAGGCTCCCACATAAAGGACCCTCCATCAGCCCAGTAATTCTGCCCAAGTCCCTCCCTGTCCCCTTCACAGCTGGACTTCCAAGGAGGGCGTCCACACCTGCTGCCTGCACTTCTCACCTCCGCTGTGCTCAGCATCTCTCCAGGAAGTCTGCACCCACTGAGACCACCGGTGCACGTGTCCTTGACCCCTCTGCCACATTTGGCCTGTGACCTTCCCCCGGATGCACCTTCCCACATGCTCTCTGGGTGTCTGTGGTGACCCGTTCTCCTCCTTCATGTCTCTCCCACTCCAGCTCCTCTGTTCTGCCATGAGAAGGTAGGCCCTCAGGTCACAGGCTGCCTCACCTCATACTCTTCCTAGGTAACTTCATCCCTACCCAGCTCACCTCCAGCCCAGCCCTTTCCTGTGCTCCGATGCATTGCACATGCACCAGTCGCCCACCTGATGTCCTCATTGGGTGCTGTAATGACATCTCAAATTCATCCTTTCATGAGCTGAATTCTCAGACTTCACCCAAGTCTGGCCCTCATGCCCTGCCCCCTCTCATGACTGGCATCGTCCTGTGTCCCTGACCCCAGCCTGACACACATCGCTGACCCTGGCTTTCCTCTCCTAGCCCCATCCCCGAAATTCCGAATCCTGTCAATTCTCCCGTTTTCTCACTGCCCCTCCCCCCAGTAGTCACGTTCCTGACGCAAAGCCACCCATCCTCCGCCCTGAGTTAGCAAAGCTTCCTCACTGCCCTCCCCCTGCCCACTCTGGCCCCCTCCAATCTGACAATGCAACGAGCAAGCAGTGCCTTTTGAAAACACGTGAGCATCTTTCTCACACACATAAAATGCCCCTCCGGGTTTCCACCCTCTCTCGACCATGGCCTACAGGAACCTGCATGCTCACTCGCTCACTGTCTCCTTCTCTCTCCAGCCACGCTGGTCTTTCTTTTCCTGGAACTCACCAAAACCCTTTGCACATCCTAAATCAGTTCAGCATATACTTATAGAACATTGGTTTGTGCCAGGCACTGAGTCAGGAAACCAGCCTGGCGTGGTTCCTATCCTGGCACTCCTTTTCTAGGGGAGAGATGGAAGAAACAAACAAGTGAACAAGACAGTCTCATTGTTAAGAGTGATGACAAAAATAAAGCAAGACGATGTGATCAAGAATGAGGGGAGGGATGCTTAGACGGGTGAGGCGATAAGATGGAATAAGGCAAATGAAAGCCTGGGGAAAAGGATTTCAACCAGAGGGAACAGCACCTGCAAAAGCCCGAGGTGTGAAAGAGTTTAGTGGCTAAGGAGCAGCAGGGCGCCCCTGTGGCGGAGGGGTGGGCTCAGTGAGGAAAGTGGTTTGAGATGGGGCTGGAGAGTGGGAAGATGGGCTTGGGGGCCATGTCGAGAGGGTTGGATTTTGTTCCAGTGCCGCGAGAAGGCACTGGAGGTTTTAAGCATGACGGTGACGTCATGCGATTCATGCTTTTAAAAGCTCACGCTGGAAATAAGCCAGATATAGAAAGACAAACTCTGTATGACTCCACTCATAGTTGGAAGTTAACATTTAGACAAAGAGAACTGATTGGTGGTTACCAGGGGAAAGGGGGGTGGGGGGAGGGCACAAAGGGTGAGGTGGTCCACCTACAACACGACTAACGATAATATAGAACTGAAACTTCACAAGGTTGTAAACTATCATAATCTTAATAAAAAGAAATAAAATCATAATAAAAGCTCACGCTGGCAGCCGTGTTCCTCCCTCTCACTCACCACTACGTCCCCGGGGCCCAGCACTGCTCCCGGCCCATGCTGAGTGTTCAAAACATGTGTCGAATGATGCATGCCCCTGACTTTCTATGTGACTTGGAGTTAGTCACTTCTCTCTCTGGACCTTATTTTCCTCACCAGAAAGACAGTCGATGGGATGGGGCTGGCCCGTGGCCGAGTGGTTAAGTTCCTGCGGCCCACTTCTGCAGCCCAGGGTTCAGATCCTGGCCGCGGACATGGCACCGTTCATCAGCCCATGTTGAGACGGCGTACCACATGCCACAGCTAGAAAGACCCACAACTAAAATATACAACTATGTGCTGGGGGGATTTGGGGAGAAAGAAACAGCAGGAAAAAAAAAGAAGATTGGCAACAGTTGTTAGCTCAGGTGCCAATCTTTAAAAAAAAATTAAAAAGAAACAGCCGATGGGAATTTCACGCCAAAGTGGGAATTTCACGCCAGAGTGAGAGGGCGGGACTTGATTTAAGTTCCCCGCCTCCCCAAGCGGCCCCGAGACCCAAGACCCCAGTCGACACCCCTGGGGACCCTATCAAAGCGCGGCTGCTCCGCCTCGCCCTGGACCGCGATCCAAAGGATGCTACAGGCCGGGGGGCGGGACCCATAAGCGATCGCCGGCGCCCCCGGCGCGGATTGGGTGCAGCCGTGACAGACACCGCGCGACTGGTCGGTCCAGAGGCAGGGGCGGGGCCTGGCTCATGCCGCGGGGCGGCCGGGCGGCTGGGGACACCGCCAGAGGCCGGGAAGCTGTTGCAGGAGCGATGCCCGCGCCCAGCCCGGGGCCCCGCGAGGTAGGTGCAGACTCGAGAGAAGACAGGAGAGGGAAGGGTTGGGGGACAGGAGCCGGGCCTTCCTTCCCAGTGCGGCTGGGCATCCAAGCCCAGGAGGGGTCCTGCACTGGGACCAGTACAAGCCCCACATGGGGCCACAGGTAGGAAGGGAGGAGTCTGGCTGGTATCCTCTGAGAGCTTCCTCAGTTTCCTCCTCGGGCGGGAAAAAGGAGATGATGATAAAAGCTCCTCCTTCATAGGGCTAATAGGAGTTCAAGCTCTGGGGGCTGGCCCCGTGGCCGAGAGGTTAAGTTTGCGCGCTCCGCTGCAGGCAGCCCAGTGTTTCATTGGTTCGCAATCCTGGGTGCGAACATGGCACTGCTCATCAAACCACGCTGAGGCAGCGTCCTACATGCCACAACTAGAAGGACCCACAACGAAGAATATACAACTATGTACGGGGGGGCTTTGGGGAGAAAAAGGAAAAAAATAAAATCTTTAAAAAAAAAGAAAAAAGGAGTTCAAGCTCTCAGCCGGTGCTGGCACGTGGTGGGCGCCCACTACTAATGGGTGAGCTGCTCTGAGCTCAGCCTCATCTGACCCTCCACGCTGGCCTGGAGGAACTCCACGTAGACGAGTGAAATAGATGACCGAGTCACCGGCATCAGGGCTCCTACTATCAAGGGTTCCTGTGTATGGAGCTCAAACTCAGTAGTAACTACAGTTAATACCTGCCCTGAAGGAGTTCTTATAGTTCTCATTTTACAGGCGAGAAGATGGGGCGCAGAAACGTTAGGTGACTTATCTCAGGTCACACAGCTGGTGAGAGACAGTCAGTCTTGGGCTGGGTTTGGCTGCAGAACCCACCCTCTGCCTACTGATAATAACTATCACTCTATTTTGGGTGCTGACTGCATGCCAGGCATGTGTGGCTGCTCCTCACCACACCCAGTGAGGAGGGTAGTAGCATTATCCATATTTTACAACTGAGGAAACTGAGGCAGAGAGAGATTAAAGGAGGGCTCATGAGTTGTGGAGGAGGGACTCAAATCCTGGTCTTTCCCCTCTGGGATGCTCATTGCCTCTCATGCCTCCTGCCACCAGGTCCTGGCCTCCTCCCCAGAGGCTGGATCCAGAGCAGCTGCTGCGGGTTCCAGCTCCCGTGGCCTCCTCTGGCATCTACAGGACAAGCGGTTGCGCCTAGGCCTGTTTGAGATTGACCCGGGGCATGAGCTGCACCAGATGACGTGTATGATGCAGGCAGGGCTGTGGGCTGCCACGCAGGTCTCCATGGACCACCCGCCCACAGTGAGTGGCCAACCTGTCCCGTGCACTGACAGCAAGACCAGACTGATGGCCTGTCCCGCTAATACTGCAGGGCTGGGGACTGGAGAGGGCTAGAGGGGGAGGAAGGTAGGGGCGTGGTGCAGGGAGGGAGGGACATTCTGGGGTAGGGGCTGGGGCCAGGAAGCCAGAAAGTCCAGGGTGCAGTGGGCGTGTGAGGAGCCCCCTGACCCAGAGAGTTGCAGTGTGACTCTAGATGGGCATCTGCCTCTCTTGGGCCTCAGTGTCCCCATCTGTATAATGGGTGGGAGGGATTGTACTCCTTGGTCTCTGAGGCCCTCCCAGCTCTGCCAGGTGTATGGCTGAGAAGGGACCCCACCCCCACTCCATCAGCCTGGCCCATCCTCCCTGGAGCTCAGGCTGGGGCCAGGCTGGCTCAGCAGAAAGGGTCACCCAGCTGCAAGCTCAGCAGCTGGATGGGTGGGTGAGCATGTGTGTTTGTGTGTGTGCACACGTGTGCACAGTGTGACCACATCCCACAGGCCAGTCCTGGCACAGGGACCTGGAGGTCCAGGGAGAGTGTAAGAGTCCTCTAAATCTCATCACCTGCTGAGAACCTTCCAGGGCTCCCCAACACTCAGCATGGCCTCAGGATCCTGTTGGTTCAAGCCCAAGGGCCAAGTGT